CGGAAGAGGATCATGACCAGTTCAGCTTTGGCCTCTCCTGGTCCTTGTCTTACACTGTCTTACAGCCACTTGGCACTCTTTGTGTTTTCAAATGTGCATATTTCCAGGAAAAACAACAACAACAACAACAAAACAAACAACAAAACCCCACAGAAAACAAACAAAAAACCCCAACCAAACCGAAAAAAAGATATTGAGGATGTCTCATTGCTTCACCCCACCACCATAGCCATCTAAAATCATGGTTCTGTGTGTTTGGCTATACCAAGTGCAGACAGAAGAGTTATGGCTATGTTTAAAGAGGTGTGTAATGAGCTTATTTCCATTTTTGAGGCATTATCATGACTTTAGTGCGAGCCAGTTCTCTCGCACCGACACGAGCACTATTTGAGAGGTGTCATTGCTGCCATTGGTGTTTCTTGTCCGCGATGCGCTGGTGCTGCAGACCTCGCTGGCATTGCTCTCTCTCTGGCTGGGGTGAGATACCATCTCACAGCTCTCGGTCCAAGCAGGAATTACTTTCAAAGACAACAAAGGTTTTTATTTAGCGCCGGTCGGGCCATTGGGGTGGTTTCCTGCCGGCGGTGCTCAGTGTGGTGCAAACCATTTCCAGGTCACGCGAGCAGCTCCAGCCAAGCACCCCTCCTCTCCTTACCCATCCTGTGTTCCTTCTTCACATTTAACCCCCCCACTCTTGCAACTTAGAAAAGCTATCACTTCTTGTAGGCTTCTGGTTTTGCCGATTTTTTGCCTTGTTTTTCAAGGCAATTCCTTCTGACTTGTTCAACCTCCGGTATTGCTGCGGAAAATATGCATCAGGGGAACAGTTTCATGGAAAAATGCTTAAGTGGCTTGATTTACATTGTAGCCTGCCCCTTAAAACGAGATTAAAGACCTGGTAATATCCTACAAAGTGCTGAACAGACAGAAGGTAGTAAATGAGCATAGCCTTGATTAGATTTGAACGAACAATCTTGAAGTAAAAGTTTAAGGCGTAGAACTGTTAAGCACTCTATCCACCATATGATTTGCTTGAGTGTAGTCATGTGTATGCCTCATATTTGCTGTATTATTTGAAGATATTGATTTTAGTGGAATAATCATACTAAGCAATTTGTTTTAATACACCACCTGTATTAACACTATGTTGTAGATGCAACAACCATGCATCTGTTCTTTAAGATTTTCAAAAGCCTTTTAAATTAAAATATATGATCTACAGATCAAAAGTCTGATATTCTTGGGTTTTTTCAGCTGTTTCTCTCTGAGGAATGACTTTGAGTGTAAATGATCACAGCAGTAGCTGTGCACGGGGGTAATAAATAGCAAGGCACCCATTTAATGCAGTTGCAAGGATTACAAAGAGGCCAGACTTTTCCCAAGTTAAAAAATATATCTATTTTTGGTCTTAATTCTGAGAACTGTATTTAAATAAGACTTAGAAAAAGAATACAAACACATCGATGAACAGTGGTTTAGGAAGGCAGTGTTCTTTCATAAAATGATGGTTATTAAAGGATCTGTGTGCTCTGTTTGGAAATAAATTGAAGAGCCCGGACAAGATGCATGCTTCTGGCTGAAGCAGCAGGCTTTCCTCTGAGATTAGAGAGAAGAAAGGAGAGGGGAACCTTCATTTAGTGAGGTAAAGGAACAAGCGAGGCCCCCCCCATCCAGCACGCCCAAACATCAGGGATGTTTCGGCAGGGGTGAGCGGCTCTCCCGGGGCAGGAGCAGCAGATGGAGGAGCTCCGATGGCAACACGGGACCATAATCTCTGCAGAGCAGCCCTGGCACAGAGGATGCCTCGGTGGGGCTCTCAGGATGTGCTTTCTGGAGCGCTAATGACGGAAACATTTCCTGCCCCATATAAATCTAATAGCATGTGAAACCAAGCACAATAAAACAAATAGATGACACTTTCTTAAGGAAATGGCGATAAGGTTGATAATATTAGGGAAGTTTTTGAGCTCTTTGCCCTTTCTGACATGAATCACAATCAGTTCATTCCTCAGGAGCCAACTGCTTGGAGCAGAGTTCAGCCTGCTGAGCCCCGCTCAGGATTTGGTCCCATTAACACGAAGAAGGTGTTGTCCCAACAGCATCTTAGCAGCTTTGCAAGGAGGAATAACCCAGTCTTCACTCAAATACCATTTTATTTGCAGCTCCATACCCTGTTCAGGCTGTCCTGCCCCATACAGGCATAGGGATGCCTGCACCTCTCCCGCAGCAGCTCCTCATCCTGAGCGCAGTGAATGCGAGGACCGGTTGTAATTCCAAAAGTGTTGGTTTCCCTGGGAAATGGCACGGTTTGGTTGTGAAGGCGGAGGACTGAGACACAAAACTTTTGGCTTTTGGGGTTTTGCTGTGGCATTGCTCAAAGTGCTTCCACGTGCCTCTGCTCTCACCGTGCGGTGGGAGTGTCAGTAACTGCTCACTTCCCATTAAAGTGGGAAAGTTATTTAAATGCTTCAAAGCTCTTGAATGGCAATGGATACGTGAGAACAACGTTTGATTAATTTGATGAGTTTTGTACAGAAATAGCCCCCTAGCACTGCACATCCTCTGGGTCAGCAGGGCTGGCGTCTTGGGAGGATGGTGGGAATCTAATTATTTCATCTGTCCAAAATAGCAACTTTTGAGAGGTGGGGAAATGACTACACCAAAACTATTGTATGCCATCTGCCTGCTGAAATACTTATAGAAAACATGCTTCCTGGCATATAACTTCCTAGCCATATGTCTATTGCATCATTCCCAATTAAATTAAATCACCCTTAAACACTTGGACAAATTCCCAGTCTATGTGAACAAGCCTTCATCACCATGCAGTTTGAAATTTGGACACTTGATCCTGTAAATGTTCCGTTGAAATTGGCTCAGCCATTGTTAACCTTCTACAGCTGATACAGGCTCCTTTGAGATAATTCACGGGCATGTTTCTTATTTTGGTCTTTAAATTTTTAACTATAAAAATTTGTTGCGAGTCTGAAATAATTCTCCAGTATTTGTTTGCAGCGTGCTCAAGTCACTCTAAACAGAGGTTTAAATGGAGAGTCACGTCAATGAGAAAAGGTGTTATCTTCCGCTCATTGGATAAACAGACGGAAATAACTGAAGAGCTTGGTTACAGCAGGATATTCTGAATATCTGGAATATGCTTGGAGGTGTGTACACACACACCCCCCCAACTGAAGAACTTGCTCACTTCACAGCTTCTCTGGAGAGTGGCTGTGATTGGTCATCACACACCAAAGCCCGACCTACTCCTGGTAGGGCTGGGTCACCCTTGTCTAAATGAGTTTTTAGGCATGATCTGGCATGCTCAGGTAGTGCACAGCGTGGATGTAAGTATTAATGGAAACCTACAGGGAATCTCATTGAAATGCAGCCCGACTTCCACTGGAAACCCAACCCGTGAGCTTCCCCCCCAGTGCCCAACAGACCCGGTCATCCTCTATTTTTAGGCCAAGTCTCTATTTTTAGGCAGGTTTTGAAAGATGAAATGAAACTGGCAGCCAAACCCAGACAATTCTGGTGGTTCCTTTCATTCAGGAGCCCCGAGCAGAATGGCAGGAAACCCGGCAGGGCGGAGGGGTGGGCCCCTGGCGCAGGCAGGAGGGGCTGGGGGTGCAGGGGAACCCCTCATGGGGCCACCCAGCGCTCCCTGCAAACAAGGGGGTCAACATAAGTGAGTTTGTTTTATTCTTTTTCTACAGTTCATTTTATTTTTAGTGCAAAAGTAAGGTTTCAAAACATTTCTAAGGGTTTTGCCTTCACTGCACATGAGCAGTCACAAGCGCTGTCCCTCCAGCAGCAGCTTTTCTTGGTGCCGCTCAGCATGACGGGATGTTGGTTCCCTCTTCTCTCTTCTAGAAATGTCTATTTTATATTTTTAGTTGCGTTATTCAACCCAAATTCTCACTTTAACAGAAAAAAAATAAAATATGTTATTTAAATAGGACCTTTGTCTCACTCTACTTTCCTCATTTCATCTTTTGAATGTGTTTTCTAGACCACTGTGCATGCAGACCTGTGTCGTGTAGCGAGTCATGCGTTTCCCCATGTGTGATTGAGAGAGGAAAAAGAGACAAATGCTTGGTGTGAGCCAGGCTGTGACCATGCTCAGGTTTTATATCATGTTGTAGATCGTATTTTACTGGGATATTTTGGTCTCTAATGTAGCTGTGTAGCTCTGTCATTCAGTAATAGATTACTGAACACAACAGAAATCTTTATATAGATGTTGGAGCACATTTCTTCATTAGAGATGTTTCCTTCCCAGGGACATTTTCCTGTCATAGAAACACAGAATGGTTTGGGTTGAGAGGGACCTTTAAACATCATCTTGTCCAACCCCTGTCCCGTGCTAAAAACAAAAGCTACAGGAATTCTGTCACACCAATAAATCTATATACTGTAAATGCTGTTTGGGGATTTCTTGGTAGATAATACCACCTTGTCTTTTTTCTGCCTTTTAATCCTTTTGCTGACTGTAGCCGTATGACTGTAGAATGTAATGGGGGCATCCACATAAAGATAATATATTGAGCAAGTGCTTAATTGTTCTTCCCCCCATCGCTGTTTTCCTGGCCGCCTCATTTTTTATTTCCTGTTAGCAATGACTCCTTTAGTGACTGCATCATTTACCTGAAAAAGGAAAGGAAGAATTTGGACTTAACAGAATTTAGTTTCCCAAATGATCACATCTCTCTTATTTATTTTTTTTTATCCCCGAAGGCCAAAATGATCACTAAGACATTTCCGTTGTCTTTGTTCCCAGACAAAAAAATCAACACATGGAAACATCCAAGTATTTTTGAATTAATAAATAAATTGTCTGTTTGTTTGCATGTTTAAATCAATACTTTTGAAGATACTCTTGTTTCATTCAGGCCACATTAGGATGCGTTGCCTCAACCCCCTTCGATGCAGAGCATCCCTCATCCTGCTGGTGCCAGCGCTGGTCCCAGCTTGGTAAAGTTCAGCCTGGTGATAAAACTGAAGCCAATATTTCTATACTGGTTTTAATGTTTCTGTAATGTGTTATTAATGGAAATGAGATCCAGGAAGTTATTTATTAGTCTTGAGTCCTTCTTTTGCTCCAGGTTTTGCACAGAAGTTTTTGCCTGTGGGTCTTTCTCTCCCCCAGACCTTCTATAAACCATTTCATTCGTGCTCTCTGTTTGACTGAAGTAAATTTAGTGAAGCTAATGGAGTTACTTCTCTTCAGGTCAGTGATGATTTTGCATCCTTGAGCTCCTTGCTTAATTTGCTGAGAAAATTTCAGGTTCTACAGCCAGTTTTCAGCGTCCCCTGCCTGGCCACGGCGCTGGCCACAGCCCAGCCCTGGGACCGTGGCTGGCCCTGGGGTTTCTTCCCATCTCTGCTCTCATCAGATCGCATTTATTTGGCTTTGAGGGCAGCTCAGCAGCCATTTGCACTGAAACTCTTCCAGCTGCAGCCGTGCCTTCACTTTAAAGGGAGAACCAGCAGCTCTTAGGAAAGAGTTAAGCTTTGCTCTTTTGTTTGTTTTGAAGCACTGGCAGGAAAGTGGGGAGGAGAAAATTACCTAAGTGATAGTGAGGTGGCCATGAACTATATAAAACCCTGAAATAGAATTGGAGAAACTCCACCTCGCAGTCTTGAACCGTAAGCACAGCCCCTGAAGAGAAACCCACCCCAGCAGCGAGTGATTGCGAAGCCTTGAACTGAACCCAAGCTCCATGAGCTCAGAGCTGCTGCAGGACTGAGAGCCCACAGCCGGTTCAGGCGGAGCTCTGAGCAGGGATGCT